TATATATATAATAAAATTCTTTACACATATTAAAAATATTCATATGTGAATAACACGGGCCTTGTATCAAGAACAAGATGTGAACCATACACATATTTAACATTACAATTTAAAAAAAGCACATATCAATCAATTAATGAACAAAAATTGATGTATATGACACTTATTTTTACTACATGGTTTCAAAATTGGTAATGCAATTCAATTCAGCATATATTTTTGTTTAGTGGGACAAAAACTTAAAAAAGCATCAAGATTTGTAGTTAATACTAACACAAAAAATACATTAGAAAATTTCCAAATAAGTGTCTTATCAGACTTTAACGATTGCATTTACTAGTGTCCATTAGGACTTTATAAATAAGAATCATTGAAGTTTGTGTAAAATGAAGTACGGTTTAATTAATTTCAAAATTATTTTCAATTCTACACTCCGATTTGCTTCAATCAAAACTAGCAAAAGTTTGGTAATTTTGGTTGAAATTTCAGTTATATAACCTATGATAATAAAGAGTTATCTTCACTTGCAAAATTCAGATGAGAAACTTATGCATCAATAATTTTAAAACAAAATACTGTTGCAAAAACAATACTAACCAATATGGAAATTGAGACATTCACTGAAAGCAATTGATTAGCTGGCTGCTGAAGCATTTCGAGGACTAGTGGTTGAATCAGGACTTTGCACAGGAGGTGAGATTGGGCAAGAGGCAGATAAATTTATATGCTTATCTCCATCACAAATATATTTTCCTGAAAATTAATAAAGGTATTTCTGAAATTAGTTTTGCAAATTTGAAAATAGTTGCCAAGAAAAGTTTAAAATGTGCCATTTTGAAAGTATAGAGAGCCAATATAAACCTATTATAAAATACTGGTAAGATAAATAAATGAGAAACAAGAATTTAGAAATAATCGAAATTGATAATGTTAAGACACATTTGAAAGACTAAAAGGAAGACAATATTACATAACACACATAAATACAAACCTGAAACAAATCTACGTTTAACAAGTGACAATCTATATCCTGATCCAAGTAATTCAAACTCCATTCCAGATAAAGTTGTTCCTTCACAATTAAACTGTGTTCTTATAGTGGCAGGTGTGCTTGGACCATTTGAAATTTCCATCCTGGCTCTCAATGATCCAACTCCTTTGTTCTCTGAGTGTTGTGAAAGTTCTGTAAATTTCCATAGGCACGTATTGTTTTCTGATATCCTGTAATTGAGTTAATTATTATTTAAACAGTAACATCAAACATTATTTAAATAAAGATATTATAAAAAAGTAAAGTTTACTAATTATATTACAAATATCATAAGTCTATTCCATTATACATTTTTATCATTATCATATCATTAATTTTCATATAAAATATTATTATTATTCAACAATACATAAATTTAATTTGTTGTTCAACAACTATTACTTTATATAATTTATTAATAAAATAATCATACCAAATAGCTGATGGCATTGAGTGCAAATCTGTTACTCCACCATCAACTGGAACTGCAACTGAGACGTTCAGCAATGGAGAAGGACTGCTCATGGCGTGCAAGTTATATTTATAATCAATTTTCAAATCCGTATGGTTTTGTTCACATTTCCAATATGATACCAATTGGAAGGGGCAAGAACCAGCACCTGGTTTAGTTTTAATTTGATATTTCAAAATATCAACATTGAAATAAGCTGCAGTAGGATTTTGTTCTGACTGGCGTCGTAATAATGCAGTTAAGGCAGGCATGTTGAATTCTAATATTATGTTATCAGGTGTAGATTGTAGAACATCACTGAAATTAATTGAATTAATATTTTTATGTTATATGATCTTAAACAAAAGTGAACCCACATATTGAGTAAAGTAAGAGCTTACATAGAAACAAGTTGGTTGTTTGGCAAAATATTTTCGAGTTTTTGTGAATTCCTTATCCTAAACCACAATTTTGATGGATTAGGATTATTGGCAAAAACATTAACTATTCCAGATGGAAATGACAGCATCATATCACCTGACATTTTCACTTTGCACCTAAAATAATGTGTTTTAAAATTACTATACATAATCAGCTTTGACATTTTTAATTTTATTTTACAACATACATTGTTTCATCAGTCCCTCTAAAATATGCATGAACTATTTCATGAAATGCAACTGCTAATGGTATGGTGTCTGCCATGCCAATTGTAAGAGGTGAGGGTCCTCGAGAAGAGCCGAAACTCGCTCTGAACTCAATACCAGAACCCCCCACACTGCTAAGACTGTCCGTGCGAGACATATTTACATTAGAGGGGCTAATGCGACCTCTGGCTCCAGCCTAAATAAAATATTACAAAGGCATTTAAGAAAAAATTTAAACTCAAAATTTAAATTAAATTAACAAAAGAATAAATAAACCTCAGATCTTCGAGAAGGTGGCCTCGGCAATGCTATACTGCCGGTTGAATTGGCAGATGCTGTTTGTCTACTCAATTTCATTGTACCAATATTACTTGTAATTTCACCAACTTCAGAAAAAATATCACCTAAATCTAAACAAAAAAAAAAAAAAATAAAACAAATCAGTGTAACAGATGAAACAAACTACAAATATTAGTATATATACACTGACCAGCATATCTATTCGTAGAGCTACCCAGAGTGGGACTGTGTATTGTTGTTGTCTGTGAAGGATTTCCGCTTGGACTTTGCAGAGGTGCATATGGGTGATTGTGATGATGACTTGTAGGTGTGGAACCTGTGGAGCCGCCAGCACTTGCTGATGGACTTGTGCAAAAACTTAAACCTAACAATTCACTGCCAGATTTTCCTTGTGCTAACCCTATTTGCTGAGAAACTGATTGAGAACGCTTCATATTATTTTCCATCTCTGAATTAGAACCTCTGCGACCCTGTAACCCAATTATGCAGTATCACTCAAAATTATCACACACCCAATTATATGTTCAGAATATTTTACAAATTTTAAGTAAAATAATGGCAAACATACAGGCAGTGTTCCAAGAGGAGACAGTGACAAAGTTTCAACAGTTGCACGTAACTCATCCACACTTGCAGACATTGGTGCTGATCCATTTGTTAATGGTTTTATTTCTACGTGTAGTTTGTGCTCACGTTCTTCATCTATAATAAATTTATATTTATAGATTTATATATAGATACTAATTATTGTAGTTGATTAAAATCTGAATTACCAGAATCCATGTCAGAACTTGAATAAAAGCTTCCTTTATCATTTTCCCAACGTTCAAGTTTTGGTCGAATGCAAAATCCATCTTCATCAACTTCTGGAGCATTTGTTTCAATTTTTTTCTCCGTTTCTTCTTTCTCTTCGCTAAGAAAAATTATAACCACATAATTTCTTTGTTCATTTACTAACAATAAGGTAGTTGACAGCATAGAATTTAAGTGTAGTAATCATTTAAGTTCAATATTTGTACACCATGACATCGCATAGATGTTTTTCTTTTTTTTTTTGTTATCAACCACCTAATTCAACAAAACAAAAATCTTACTTATCTGATTTTTCTTTATTACTGGTAATTTCAGTATCTTTTTTCTTTTTAGCCTTTTTAGATTTTGCTTTATCCCTGCGACTTTTTAGAAACCCTAAAATCCAAAAATTTTAGATTGCAGATAAAATATTACAATGAGTAAGTAGTCTCTATTAACCAATTAAACATGAATAAGTGAATTATTAGTTAAATACAAGGACAATAGTATAAATGTTTTCATAACTAAATTTGTGGCATATGAATGAATACATACATGTATACAATATTATGTGTGAGGACTTAACGCCAACAAAAATATTAAGGTACGATTTAATTATTAGCACTATAATATATATATATATATATATATATATATATATATATATGTACGTATAACATTTAATATTTACTTGGCAATTGTTAAACATACGAGAGTTATTGAATGCCTTTATGTTGAACTAAAGTATACAAAGTAATCGGCACACTTTCAAATTTATAATATAGAAAAATAAAAGAAGGAAATATAAATATATAATTTGATGAATAGCCATCAAATAAAATTTGATTTCTCAAATACTTGAAACTAATTTATCTTTTTGTGTGCTGAATACTTGGCATGCAATTTGTGAAAATTTACTGTGATTTAATGTTGGCTTTTATTATAGCAGTAGCAAATTTGTATAAAGTGCAGATAGTACTTCTCTAAATTATTCCAATCCAAGAAATTAACACCTGTTGTAAAATAATGTGTTAAAAGTCATGGATATTAAGATTAAAAATTTTTAAAACATAAATGTCAAGATTAACATTATTCCACACCAGATACAGTATGTTATTCAACAATTATTCGATTTGTCACACTGTATTTAAAGTTTTATAATGCACAGTTTAAAAATTAAATTGTCATTGAATTTGAAAGTGCATAGATTAAATATTATAATAATAAATATAATTATGTATAAATTTATATTATTTAAAGTAATGTTGGTGATATTTTTAACATCCCGCCAAGGACTGTAAAGGAAATGGAATTCAGGAATGAAAATATATATCAGGAAAGAAATTGGAAAGGTCAACTTGTAATCAAAATCTTAATGTAATATATATATATCTAGTAATATAGAAGAAAATACATAGTGCATTTCATGCTAAGTGCAATCAATAACTTTATATACCGTGGGAGGTGTCAAAGTACAGACACAACTAAGTAAATACCCCAATGATACATACTAATAATCATATGTTCAACACATGCTTCAATATATGCTGAAGAATAAGTAAAAAAAAAAAAAAAATCAAGAAGCATGTCCTACAACAAAGCTACTAACTAGTGAATTAATTATTGATATAATATTACACTTGGATCCTCTGAGAGGGTTCCGATATATCTGCGCAGTTTGAACAGCATTGCTGCCTGAATCTGTGGGGCCTGTAGGACTTGGGGGAGCGGAACACCCTCTGCTGTCCCCCTCCCTGCTGCCTGCAAAACATACTCACTAATCCTAATTTTCCCTCCACATATGATAAGTCCCATCATATGATAAAACTGAACTTATTGACAAAAACTAATAAATAATCTGTCTATGTAACAATTTCCATAAACAAAAGGGTTAAACTATTGTCAAAAACTAATCATTAGAATTGATTATTTAAAGTAGAAGTTATTGATACTCTACTTATTAATTTGTAGTGACGTTATATACGGGGTTTAGAAACTGTACTGATCTGAATATATGTGCTGAATTATTCAGCAGCAGTATGAAAGTGAATATATTAATTAGATTGTATCTGTATTACATATGGCTATGTTTTTAAATTTACAGAACTATTAGTCAAATTCAGAATCAAAAAATGTTTCTCATAAATAACAAGAAATTTTTTCAGCATTTGTGTGTAATTACCATTGAAACGCTCATTGCAATTTTTGCATGAAAAATTCTGCGAAAAAATGTATCACTTATAGCCACCTGAGGATCTAACATATTCATATGATAGACGGTGACGCAAACTGAAATCAAATTCAAGACACCAAACTACTTTAAATAAGCAGCAACTAATTATTACACCAAAAACTAACATTGATGTTAAAAACGTTTTATCTGTTGTACTCTAGGTCAAAATTAATTAAAATCTTTAACTATAATAAAAAAGGGGTATTTATATTGGTCTAAATTATTATTACATCAAATATGAATAATCATGGTTACAAAATTACTACTTAATTTTGATCTAGATATAACCGTTAGAAATCGACAATCACAAATACTAGATTAAGTGGATCAATTGAAGTTTAATTAATAGTTGATATTAATGGACTACTACTGTATCAAAATTCTAAATCTAATTTTTATAAAACAAAAATATCATCTACTAGTACGCACAAAAGGCTAATAGCACACGCTATCATATAAAAAGTAAATCATATGTATCCCATACAATTTTAGTGTATATCGTAGTATAGGTCAAGCTATTTTCGATCTAAAGACTATGACTACGTACACACAGGAATACATATGGAAACATACCCTGGGATTGAGGCATGAAGAGGTTGAGAAGGGAGCTAGTGCGGCGGGATGGTTTGCTAGATGCTCTTTGAGGTTTATCCAATATAACACTTGACGCATTTATTGAGGTTTCCTGGTTACCTTCTTTCTTGCTCGGTTTTGCTCCGAGCGTACTATCAATACTTGTTCCATTTGAAACATTTGTTGTTTCGCATTCATTTTCAGTTGATAAGGCGACAGAAGTGGGCAAATTCAAACTTAGTTGATCTGCTTCAATGGCACCTAAAAATTACAATATTTATTTAAAATATTTTATAGGCAATAATTATAGTAACATACTAACTTGGTTTTTCTAATCCAGTGTATTTTTTTAATACAAATTGTTCTAGTAATTTATCCACGGTTAATTCAATACACTTTCGTTTAAACTCAGAGTGAACCTACATGTATTATTAATACAAATAATAAAAGCTTAAAATTTATTAAGAGCTTATTGAATTTTAGTGCCTTACTTGCCCAATGGATTCATGGTTACTTTGAACAAGTTCTGCATAACTCATTAAAAAATCTTTCATTTTCTTTAAATGCATTTCTTCTACTTCTTGAAAATGCTGAAATATATATAACCATAGGATCCTTATTTCTATTATGTATAAGTACAATCAACAATTAAAACATGTGATTTACCCTGCAAGCTATTGTCATTTTCTTTTCAAAATCTTTTTTTATAGGAACATATTTCTCCATTATCATTTTATAATCATCACAGGTTTTTTTCAATTTCAATTCAGCTTTTTCAATATCTCTTACGGAGGCATTATCTTTTTTAAGACGCTCTAATTCTAGTGCTTTACTTGTGTATGATTCTTTAGCCTTTTGCAATGACTGGGTTGTTGTTTGCATAACCTGAATGAAATTAATTTGAACTAACAAATGATTTAATACATTGACTGAAAAGTTGGCTAAAAAAATGTTTAAAAAAAAAGAAGTAACTTTTAACATACAAATGTCAAAAATGTGAAACATTGTACATTGTATATTTATAAATATAATTACTTTTGATACTGTATTTAACATTCATATAAACCTGTACTATATCAACAGTGCCAGATTCCTCCTCTTTAACAGACTTATGTTTTTTATGTAGTTCTTCAGCATATTTATTAACATCTTTAACTAAGTCAGTAATTTTCTGCACCATGTCCAAGTGCAAACTAGAAAGTCTTTCCGCTGAAACTTTAGCCACATCCCACACTGGGGCAAATGTGCCAATACTGCTGCATCCTACTTGTTTTGCTAATTTACTAACTAATTTAGAATTGGTTTCTTCTATACTTGACCTGAGAGAAAATATAAACATAGAATAATATTTAATAAATGAAAGCACTCTTTCTCATTACTGAATCTAATAAATATACGTTGTAAAAAAAAATATATACAGTAGAACCTCGATTAACCGGACTAATTGCTGTCGATGAGCATTCAGATAATCAAATGTATGAAGAATAATGTTTTTTATTTATTGAAAATAACAATTGCATATATAGATATCAACAAAAATCAATGTTTATTAAGAAATCAACACTTTCTTATGCATGTACATCCATATTTTCTTCGATTACATTACATACATGCAAAATTGCAGCAATAATCATGTTAAAATTCGAATTGTAGGTATATACATACATATAAATTAGTCGCGGTTGGTAGTCCGGATAATCGCAAATCCGTATAACCAAGGTCTGGATAATCGAGGTTCTATTGTACATTGTAAAAAAAATATATATTCTGATTAAAATAAATACTCATATAAAGAAGATATGTATAACAACATAGCAGAAAATATATTTATATAAGAGAAATCAACAAATAATACAAAATTATAACTTTGCCAAACATCCACTTCAATTTTTTTTAACAATTTAATATAAAGTGTAAAAACAATCACAAACAAAACACGACACCATACAACTGTTCAGTCACTTTTGAAGAAAATACCTTTCTCGCAAGAAATCTGACAGTTCTTTGCTAGCAGCTAACCCATTTTTCATATTTTGATATAGCACTTCGTACCCATTATATTTTTCACCCTAAAAAAGAAGAAAACCATGAAAATCAGTGAGTATTACAAAAAGTGTATTAGTGTCTTAACTGAATTTTTACACACTTGGAAACACACACTAAGAAATTAATTGAATTACTTATTAAATAAATGCAAGACTTATCGATATTTAACACACAATTGAAAGTAAAAAAATACAATAATTTAGTGAAATTAGGTTGCGTTAAATTTTATTTCTAATAATATTTTCACTATATTTCAATTAATTAATTATTTTGTTTACACTAAAACTGCCATTACACAATGGGTGTATAAAATTTATTCGAAAGCATTAAGAAAATTAGTAAGACCTTCATTCGCAAGTTAATGTCATTTCAATATTATGTTCATAATATTTTCAATACTTACCCAAAAATAATCATTAAAATCAACCGTCATTTTGATTTCTTATCCATAACATATACTTCCTTGTGTCAAAATAATTCCATGAAGAGTTTAGATTAAATTTGTAAATTAATATTACAATGACACGGTAATCAAAATACAAGCTGTGTAGTAGTCAAGTCACCGAGATATGGCAAAGCACCAATACCAATGTGAGATACACATCAGAAAACAAACATGTTGGTACATGGCCATGTTCATGCATATCGCATGTTAATGGGGGAACTGCGCACGAGTTTACGTTTTAAATGAAAACTAGCTGTAAGTGGAATTCTGTCTTAAGGCAATTAAGGCATCGTGCCTTAAGGCAAATTGCTGAAACTTCCCGTACCAAAAACTATTATTTTTTTAAAAACGATTAACATTTTTGAAAAAAAAAAAATACTTTGAAAAAATAAGATTTTTGAGAAACTATAAATTCGACAAAAAATTACTTTTCTTTGAAAAAAAAATTTAAAAAAAAAAAATTTTTTTTTTGTGAAAAATTTTTTTTTCTTTATTTTGACATATTGTGGAAGATCTGAACTTTTTTTTCAGAGCAATCGTACTGCTTTAACTGCATAGGGACAAAATATAAAGCGCGTAAGAAGTCGCTGTCTAACGCATAAGCATTGGTACGAAACCCATAGGAATGTTAACAAAATGTATACTTATTGTTAAAATCTCTATAAAATATCTGATAATTTGATGTGCATATGTCTAATGATCATTTTTGACCGCCAAATGGCTCATTTTTTTACTTTTTCCTCCATATCTCCGAAACCGCTAGACCTATCTTCATGAAAATTTTATCGATTATTCATCTTGTCAATACAAGTGAAATGTATATATATGTAATGTGTGTGTGTATGTTTGGATACAAGTTTTTGTCCAGGATTTCGGGAGCACGAATCAACCGATTTGAATAATTCAAAAAACATTCGAATCGTATAGATAAGGAGACGTGCTCATTAGTTTTTGACAAAGACAGGTCTAGCCGTTCCAAAGATACGGGGCAAAAAGTGCCAAAAACGGTAACTCTAACGGTCTGATTTTAATAATTCAAAAAATATTTTATTTGTATTGACAAGATAAACAACTGTTTAAATTTTTGGGAAGGCAGGTTTAGCGGTTTGAAAGATCCAGTAATAAAAATTAAAAAAAAAATTCGCGGTCAAAAATGATCATTAGACATATGCACTTCAAATAATCATATATTTTATGAGGATTTAAATCACAAGTCAAAAAAACATTTTTTGCCAGAATTTTTTTTCCAATTAATTCAATTTTTTTTCAAAAATTTCAAATTTCTCAAAAATTTAATTTTTTTATATCTTTTTAAAAATTAATAATTTTTGGTACGGGATGTTCCAGCAATTTGCCTTAAGGCACGATGCCATACACCATTAGTTTTTTTGTTATTTTAATTTTTTTTGAAGATCTTGAACTTTTTTTTACAAAACAATCAGGCCGCGTCGCAGTCAAACGGATAAACATTGGTTTGGGACCCATAGAAATGTTAACAAAATTTGTTCTTATTATTAAAATCTCTATAAAATATGTCAAAATTTAGTATGCATATGTCTAATGATCATTTTTGACCGCCAAATGACATTTTTTTTACTTTTATTATTTGATCTCCAAAACCTGCCTTCCTAAAAATTCAATATTCAATTCATTTTGTCAGTTCGACTCTCCGTCCTCTCAAAAACTAAATTACCATTTTGCTCCGTATCTTTGAAGCGGCTGGACCTGCCTTGGCCAAAAACTAATCAGCGCATCTTCTTGTTAATAGGAATCAAATGTTTCTTGAATCATTCAAACCGGTTGAACCGTGTTCCCGAAATTGTCGACGAAATTTTGTATCCGCACATATATACATATACACACATGCACACACACACAAACATTAATTTTTTCTAAGGTATACCAACATGTTCAGAAACCTTTGAAACGTAAAGGAATACTAACAAAATTATTTTCGATTTTTGCGATTATGAAAAATCCAATAAAGCGCGGTTTAAAACAAATTCACTAATAAAGACAATTCGAACATTTTAATACTTAAATGAAAACATTGTACTTCAAATTGATTGAAATTTCAATGACGATATTTGTGTTTGGAACTGCTGACTTACATCTTTAGGACACTATTTTGATTTTTTTATTTTTTTTCTATTTATATGTGGTTCTTAATACGTGGCAGACGAAGATGAATGGAGACGAAGCAAGCCGATATAATCAAAATCGTTATAAAGATAACTGTACAAATGAATAAGTAACACCAGACGGCATATTATATTTTATGCGATAAAGGAGCAATCAAATTTTTGATATGAGAATAATCTTTTATCAATGGTGACAGCATCCAGTTCCATCCCACAACTTTTGTGTATTAAATTTTTATTCTTGATGCTAATAGGCACTAATTTCAAAATTCAACAGACACGAGGATAAAAAAAAGAATTCAATACTATGACACATAATTGATAATGTATTAGAATAGATGTGCGTTTTAATGAGTTGAAGCATACTGATCTTTTGTCGCATTTAAATTCGGCCAGACGCATGAGTTTATGTTGATTAAATATTTGCATAAAAAGGCGTAAATCGCATTTAATTGTGTGATATTAAGTAGATTATCAACATTTTGAGTAGTAAATGATCAAAACAAATTCAATTATTAACATTTTTATTTTGTATATCGTTTTGTAAATATCAAATTTTTAGAAAAAATATCATTTTGTATTAATAGTTAATGTCTATTCATTTTTTAGGCTTAATCCTCGTCAATAACTTTTGCAATAACGAATGGTAATTACCTAACAATAGAAAACAAATGGCGATACCTAATAACAGAAAAAACAGAATGCAAAGAAATGTGAATTTAAAATATAGTCTTACAAGCATTTTCAGAAAGAATTATAATAACTAAATATTTTGATTTGCAAAACTATACAGTTTAGGTATCATTGCCGCTGTTAACATGCACGCCCATAAATAGGGATTAATATAATCAATCAATCGATGACTGTTTTTGAATACCAAAAGTTAGCGCAGAGTTTAAAGCCTTCAAAATACTTAAAATAATTATTCATTTTCCTACAACATTTCTATATTAAAGTATCTTCATCTTGTGTTTCGAACACCATCAATAGAGATTGCTGTGACCCGACTTTCGGTGATTGTGAATCATCGTGCGATTGCGACTGCGACTGGGATTGTGGCTGTGAATGCGAATAAGCATTCATATTCCGGTCTTTGCAACAGGAGGCAGACGATGTCTGTGATGTCGTTTCCCACGATTGCTCACCGTGATTTGCAACTGCTTCCGTTTCGGTTTCGTTAGTCTTTGACTGAAAACCAAAAGTATTTGGTTTGGAGAATGACAAAAGCTAATAAAAAATTAATGCCTCATGTGGTACTATCGTTTTATATTGTTGTATTTATTGCAAATAATATTTTATACCTCACTATGGTTAGGTTTTCCTCTTCTAAATCTCAAAGTTTTTCTACTTTGGGCTTTGGAACGTTGGAGTCGCGATTTGTTATGTTCTCGCATTCCAGAATCTAGCACAGGACTGGATGGATGACTAGGGGAATGAGGGCTTGTACTTTCATTCACAGTAGAGGGGGCTATATATCATAAAATAATTTAAACAATTATAAAAAAATCACAATATAGAATATATCACATGCAAATAAGGCCATTATTTGTTCTACGATACATTTTATTAAGGATATGAACAAATCTATTCACCAAAATACAAACATGACACGGATGACAATTTAAGCGTACGCTGGATTAAGGTAATACATTTATTTATTGACAATATTAAAATAAGTTTTTTTGCTAAAGATGTAAGAAAAAGGTTATTATGTCCCTTACATTGATCAAAACGGTCAATCGTTTACGAAATGACTTTTTACCTTTGCTAGCTGCAGTTGTTTGTGAAGTGTTTTCTCCGGGTATACAGTTAGCTGCTTTTTGCTCCATGCCAGTAAGTAATGATATCAAAGATGGTCTTTGATATCGTCCTCCGTCGCATGAATGTGGATAAGAAATATATACTTCTGTAGCACGTCTATGTGTTTCGGCTGCAGTTTGCTCTATAGATAAAAACACGACTACTGTAACAATTTATTTTTAAAATCAAAATGCTTTAATATATTCTTACGGTATTTATGCTCTTCTAATTCATCTTTTAATTCTCTCAATTCGCGTGCAAGATCTAACAGAAGTGCGCCTCTTGAACGTGGACTTGCAGAAGGAGGGGTTCCTCTCATTCGTTCCCTAATTAAAAACTGCATATGCCGCTCATGATCTCCAATAGGTGGTTGACTTATCTGCAATAAAAATATGCTTTCCAATCGAATACTAATTTAGCAAATATAAACCAGATCAACAAAATTAAATACCTTATGAAGTAAGAATGGTTGTAAAACGATATAAAGGGGAGTGCGATGAGTTACAACAAATTCCAAAAAACTCCATAGTTCTGGTGCAGCTTCGTTTCTTCGACCAAGATCTCGCATAACTCGTGCTATGCGGGACCAATCTCGAGACAAACGCTGCTCAAAGCAAACGCAAAGAACTCTTAACGCTAAAATTAGAAATATTAAAAGTATATATAATTCCTAAGGTTAAAATATTATACATGTTTACATAGAATAACAAGTAAAGAACCTAAAAAAGCGGCTTGATAAAGGGTGCTCCGCACTCTAGCTGGGCGTTTGGTTTCCCTACTTCCTGTAAATGTAAGTGATCCTGCTCTTGCATCAACAACACTTCTTACACCACCTCCACCACTAATTGCTCCGCCAACTACACCAGCTCCACCCGGTGGAGACATGGCGTTTAGTACCACAGTTACTAGAAAGCTTATATCGTTCTGATGCAGTTCGGCGACATCTAAATAATTTCATCATTTAATTCTCAATCAATTTTAAAATACATATACAAATTCTTATAAAATACCTCCTCTACCACTTCCTACTCGCAAACAAAGTGGAATGATAAGATTCATCAAAGATATCTCGGCTTTTTCCTGTGATGGAAATTCGGCACTACCTCCGCATATTTGTTCCATTATCGAACAATCCTGAAAATAAAAGCAAATTATAAATATATTGCTTTATCTAGGTTGATTTA